TCTGGCTTCTGGTAGGAGAGGTACAGGCAGAAGAATGAAGAACAGTATGAAGACAGGCAGGGTATTTATCCCATGCATTCCATGCCACCTCCTCCTCCCTCTTCCCTATTGGTTCTATGACTGCAGTTCTGGGTGGGTGGCCTGACCCCCATAGCACCAGGTACAGCTGGGCTCAGTGACGCTGTTCCCTCACGATGTCACTTCCACCATGGCTAGCCCTGAGTGCCTCATCACCCCTTGTATATTCCAGGAATCCTGCCCTCACCCCCGTAAATGGTCCCAAACCAATGCCTGTCCACAATTTGTTACATACAGTTGATTTTAACAAATAGCTATTTAATGCTTAAAGGGAAAAAAAAATATTGTATTTTAATTCATTCTAGAGTCTCTTGTGTATAGTGGTTTACACCTATATCCCAGAAGCTGAGGCCAGAGGATCACAAGTTCAAGACCAGCCTGGGCAACAAAGAGAGACTCTATCTCAAACTAAAAAATAAAAAGAGCACCAGGAAGGGTCGTGCATGCCTGTCATCCCAACACCCCAGGAGGCTGATGCAGGAGGATCAAAGCCAGCCTCGGCAAAAGTAAGGCTTTGCTGAGCAATTCAGTGAGACCTTATCTCTAAATAAAATACAAAATAGGGGTGGGGATGTGGCTCAATGGCCAAGTGCCCCTGGGTTCAATGCCTGGTACCCTCAAAAATAAAATAAGATAAAATAAAAAGGGCTGTGCATGTAGCTCAGTGATAGCGTCCCTGTGTTCATTCCCCAATTCCAAAAAGATAAAATATCTTCTTTTATTTTTTTTTCTTTGCACCACTTATGATCAGTAGAAATGCATTTCTAAGCAAGTTTTTATGGGATCTAAAACAATTAGACTCACAAACACACACACACACACACACACTCACACACAAAAACAAACACACAGACAAGCACACACCATATCCCCTGGAGAAAACTAACTTGACACTTATCCTTGTTCTAAAGAGTAAACACTTGTTTTAAACAGTTCAGAGTGTTATTTTAAAATAGCATAGACTGAGTGGCTTAGACAAGATTTTCATTGCTCACAGTTCTGGAGGCTGGTGACTCCAAGTTCAGGGTGCTACAAAACTGGCTCTTAGTGAGGGCTCTCATCCTGGACAGCAGATGCTGCTTTCTCCTGCATGCTCTTATGGCAGGGAGAGGAAGCGTAGGGTCTCTTCCCCTTTTATGAGGACACTAGACCCTTCAAGGGACATGCATGCTGAATCTCCTGAAACTGATTACTCCCCACATGCCCCACTTCCTAAGACCATCACAACGGGAGCTACAGTTTCAACATGTGAGTTTGAGCAGGAGAGACCGCAACATACCTCACATGACATGAAAGGTGGGAAAATGTTACTTGGCACTTAGCACCCTGAGGTGACCAGATCATCCCCAAAAGACTGAATTTTGCTCTACTCCTGTCTGAAGATATGCCGTGACCTTTGTACACAAAATGATCCCTTAACCTCTTTGTTGCTTCTTCTCACACAGAATAAGTCATGCTTAGTATTCCTGCTGATGGCAGCTTTTCCTCTTAAATACAAGCTCGCAATGCCCAGTTTGCAAGTAAAATGTTTATTTTTCTTTTTTTTTCCTAAGTGCTTCTAACTCTGTGCTCTCATCTGATGATGCAGTGTTTTGGCACAGCCTTACCTGGGCAAGTGGGATAGAATATCGGCTCCTTCATGGCTGGTCAATTTCCATATGGAAGTTTGTAAGAGTATGTTGTTCCTGAAGAGGTGAAATTGCATTCCTGGGAGCAATGGCAGGAGCACATCCGCCCTCCCTCTCCTCTCTCTCCCTCTCCTTCTCTATCTCTCTATCTCTCTATCTCTATCTCTATCTCTTACTGTCTCTGTCTCCAGGGTAAGTAAAGAAGCCTAGCAGACCCTTTACCCCAAACATTTGACTTCCATGAGTTCAACATGAAAGGGGAAGTCGGGGACTAGAAAGAGAACCGTTATCTCTAACACAGTGCCGCGTTCACCTCTGGGCTCACTTCTTTGTAATTGTCCCCTCCATGGTCCCCAAGCTCCATGGGGTAGCCACCGACTCCACTTCACCCTCACTAATACCCAGGACCCACATCAGTGCCCGGCACTTGATAATTATGCGCTGACGCAAACCCTGAGGTTTTATTGAGATTAGTAGTACCGGTGACTCACATCAGTACGTTCAAGATAGAAAAGGTCATCTTTATTTTCTACCTCTGATACTATTTCTGAGGAGAGAATTGGCAACTTCCAAGAAGAGTTTTTAAATGCTTCATGATTAAACCAACGCTCCACATTAAAACTTCTCCCAACAAAACAGACCCAAACATGGACCCAAAGGCATGAAGATGCTTCCAGGATGGTTTAACGGTTTTTCTATAAAAAAAAACTAATACCGTGAGTTAAAGTTCAAGGCAATGGTGGGGTATGCATATGACCAGCTCTTACATTCCCATTAAAATTGTTCCACTTAAGAGGCTTAATGAAGTAAGTGCTGATAGCGTAATGCTGACCGAGGAAACAAAGTGGCACATAGGGTGTCAGCAATGAGGTCATCGCTCCAAAAAGAAACCAACCCTCCACGCTCAGCAGCCTTTTAGAGAGACTTAGGAGATTGATATTTTCTTTATACTTTTCTCTATTGTTCAAATTTTCTTGTTTATTTTTTTTAAGTCATAAAATTGTTATTGACATTTTAAACTCCCATTTGAGAGGGTACAGAGCAAGGGACACAAACGTCCCGGTAATTGCAGAACCATTAATTGTCAGAACCAGAATTAGCATGGGGATATGGCCACACAACCTGGATGATGATGAGAAAATGATGCCATCCAAGCTGCTGCTTATAATGTCCCTCCCTCCCCCCTCCCTTCCTTCTTTCCCTCTCTCTTTTTTCTTTAGCCTTACCTCTTCTTTAAATGAACTTTTTTGAGGTTTGATTCACCACTCCAGCCTTTTTGAGATCTTGTGAAGAATTCTAATTCCTCACTCCAAAAATATCAGTGTCTCTCCATGGTCATCTGCAAATACAATGAACCTGTGTCTCAAAGCTCACTGTGCACATGGGACCATTGCCCCAGGAAGCCAACATTCCTTACACGTACTTCTCTAGAGAGTCAACCAGAGTTTCTTTAGAACATCGACAAGTCTTCAAGTATGTTTCAAAAAAAAAAAATTCTGTGTAGAATATGTCTGAAATGCTTGAAAACCTCAGTGAATTCCATTTGTTTAAACCAGTGCATTGTTTACAGAAGGGATGTGATCCTGAATTCTTAACAAACTTCCTCCAACTTCATCCCCCACACACATATACGCTCCTGTCTCTGAATGGAGACATGGATATCATCCTTCTTGACCATGAACGCTACATGTTTCCCTTTATGCCTTAGCTGCTAGGAAGCCCAACACTAAGCTTGATAGTTAATTAATGAATAATCCTCAGCCTCAATTTAAAAATTAAATAGATGTCACCATTTGGATTTCATTTGTCCCTTTTATTCTATGCAGTTGATTTGGCTCTTAGGGTTTTATTATAAGATATTGTACTTCTTCTTGCCTTTTTGGTCTTCATCCAAGGCATTGATGAGTGAGTGAGAACGCTCCCCACTCCCCAGTCTCAAGCGTGCTCCTCCTCTGAGTTCTTCTCAGTGGGATAAAGTGCCAACGCTGAGAGCTTCTGATGCAGCCAGCGGTCTCTTCCCTGGGCACCTAGGCTGCCTCTGCTGCTGTGCAATCGCTTGCTACTTCAAGATTGGGTGGGTCAACTCCAGGTCTCTTCTTACCCAGCAAATGGCAGGCCTCAGGAAGGTGACATCCTCGGATAGGTCACTTTTGTGGTTCCGGAATTACCTCCAAAGACTTGGTCAACACCTGTGCAGGGATCCCTTCCCAACCCAGAAAGTGCTGAGGTGTCTAACTTAGAGACTGATTATCTTACAGGATATTTGCTGGGTGTCCTAACCCCTGCAAGAGATGGTACACACCCCTGTCTCACTACCCACAGGCAATCTAGAAAACTGGTCACCTTTCCAGGGAGAGACAGAGCTGTCCTCGTCCTCAGCAGGGGGAACTTCCGTCTGCTACTGTGAGTATCGGTGGCATAAGTAGTGACACCTCATGGCTCCAGGAGCTAACCTGCTGCCCCACTCCCTGCGGAGCTCAGTGCCAGGAGCCCCTCCCAGGCTCAGGAATCCCCAGGTGGTAGCATCCCAGGCCAGGCCCCAGGCTCCAGAGCACACAGCACTCCATGGGCAGGTCTTCCTCATGCCTTTCCTCCCTCCTGCCCACAGGGGCTGCAGCCACATCTTACCTGAGACTGAGCAGAGCCCGAGCTGTGATCATCTTCTTACCACCTAGGGAACCCTGGAGCTGACTCTCTGAGAACCCCCTTCCCTGGGAACAGCTCACGTTTAGGCACAGTCACCCCTTCCCTGCGGCCTCTGCACAAGGGAAGAGGGCCAGACCTGGGGACCTGCAGCTGGGAACTCTGGGCCTCACCCTGCATCTCCTTGCTGTGAATTCCCTGCCCACTCCGACTCCACCAAGCCCCAGGAGGCTGACTTGGCTTTCAACTGGACCATCCCCAGTAGGACTTTGAACACAAACAGGAATTGTTTGGGGACGTGATAGTC